AGGATTTACCCACAAAATGTAAACTGTGACTAGGTTTTGGTAAGAAAAAGGTCAAATTAGGCTTTAAGAAAACTTTTTTAAATGCATGTCCAGTTCTGGAGAAAGAACTGCTCATCGTTACTGAAACTACCAGAATCATATGATAAAAGACAGTAGGGAGAAGGAAAGGTTTGTGATCTACAGCACATCATCACGTCATCTATCAAACATGATGAAGACAGTGTTAATTCATGGCTGTCGGAGGAACTGGGTCACTGGGATCATGATGGAAGTAGCAGAATTCTTGAGTGTATAAAGCTGTTCTGTTTGTTCAGATTCAGGGGGATAAAGTAATATGACACATGGATAATAAAACAAAACATAGGGGCAAAAATAAGTGGTAAATCTTAAGATTGCTTAGATGAAAGCAGTAAAGAAATTAAATATGTGCTTATATTAAACTCATCAACAGGATTCTTCTTATTTCCTACTTATTTGCATTCAAATTTCAGCCTTGATTAAAACTGCAGGGAGTCTGGAAAGTAAAAAAAAAGATAAATTCTCTTTAAAATGGTCTTCACTGTCACAGCAGCTTATTCCTTCAGTGTTTGCGTTCTGCAAGCTGAAAACCTCCATGAGTGAAAGTGTATTTGCATCATGCATCTTGCACAGTGATATCGTATTGATCTAATGTGGCACTAGGTATAAAGGTCAGCAATATTAACGCAGCGGGTAATGAGTGTACTAATGTCTGCAATCGACATGTTGGATGCAACCTATCCCTACGTGATGCTACAGTGATGTGTTATAGCCGTAGTGAAGGTAAACAACAGCAACAACCTGATTGAAACTGGCACAAAGTTGATCCTGAGCACATGGTGACCATGTTCACATTCACTGGCTTTGTTGAAGAAGCCAATTATAGTTGTTGCTAAGGAAACCATTCAGAACTGAAATCTCTGTATCTTGCGCCACTTAATGTCCTATAACCTGACTCGATGAAGGTAGCATCTCCAAGGTAAATCATTAGTTGTGTAGCATAATTAACCAGTGTGCACATTCTTTTTTTAATCTATATTTTTGGGGGGCATTTTTGCCTTTACTGGATAGTGACAGTGAAGACAGACAGAGGGGAAGACACAGCAAAGGGTCACAGGTCAGACATGGGGAATTCTGGGCAGGTGGTCACTTGCTCACCCACTAAGCTAAACCAGCACCCCACTGGGCACTTTGAATAACATAGGTACATATGGACTTTATGAAAGTGATTTTCCATTTGTCATGATACTGCTTTTATTCCTAAGTGATTACAGTACATAACTGTTTTTTGATTAGGTATCAAAATACTCATTTACAATAACAAGCCAGTTTACATCTTGTTAGTACTGGGTCGGACTCCCCTTTATCTTTAGAACTGAGACCTGGTGACTGTGGAGGCCATTTGAACTGACTGAGGTGGCTGTGGTTTAGATAAAAGCACTGTATGAATGCGTGTGTGATTGGGTGACTGAGACTTCTAGTAAAAGCTCTTTTAGCGCTCAAGTTGAGTAGAAAGCTGCTGCCTAAGTATCCGTCCATTTACCATTGCCATGTTCAAGAAATTTGTTTGGGATGATTTAAGCTTTGTAACATGGCATCCTGTCATGCTGGAAGCAATCATGCAAAGCAGGGATAGACATGTTCAGCAACAATACTCAGGTAGGTGTTTAAGCAATACTCAGTTGGTACTAAGGGGCCTAAAGCATTGCCAAGAAAACATTTCCTACACCACCATCACCATGTTTATGCCAAATGTTGACCTTACAATCCAAATGTGTAAGCAGAAAGTGAGACTTATCAGATCTTCTATTGTTTAATTTTTGTTGAGTCTGTTTGCTGTGCTTCACAGGAATGTCACCGGGTGTGATCATCTGCTGTTGTAGCCCATCTTCTTCATGGTTTAACATGATGTGAATTCAGAGAATTCTGCATACCTTATTTGTAATGAGTGTTTTGTTGAGTTACTGTTCCATTTTTTTCTTGAGAACTGCTGCTCACTGGATAGTTTCTCTTTTCCAGATCATTCTCTGTAAATTCTAGAGGTGGTTGTGCGGGAAAATCTAGTAGATCAGTTGCTTCTCAAATACTCAGACCAGCACCAACAACAATGTCGGCGTTCAAAATCACTTAAATCACCCAATGCTTGGTTTGAACACGTCTACATGTCTAAATGCACAGAGTTGCTGGTGATGAGGATGGTTAGATATTTGCATCCAGTAGCCAATAAGCGTGAAATAAAAGCTTTATTTATAAATATTTATAATAAAAGACTAATTATATGTATTACTTAGAAAATATGGGGTGTTGTGTGCAAATCACTTTCACAGTGTGAAAAAACTCATCTAAATGTTTTTCAAAACTTCAGGATGCTGTTTTCATCTGTGTGCTTAGAACCCGTTTCTGCTAAATTGATTTCAAATATTTCTACATAAATCATTCTGCAAGGCTGCTTTCCTCAGTGATTCTGTATAAAGTAAAAGTAGAAGTTGAAATAAGTTGCACAGTAAAATGCAAAGAAAAACATCAAGTACTAAACTCTAATGGCATCCATAAATTAGCTGATCTAACCCTGGTTTAAGCATTCTCTGCTGTACTGTTAAGAGAAGCTCTTAGCTCTGCTTAGCAGGAACGACAAATAATAAACACTGTTAAAGAAGAATGGGTTCACGACCACAGATGAAATGTAATATAAACATGGCTTTCGGCAGCTGTTAAAAATGTAGAACAGATTCTTGCTCATGTGATGGCATGCCACTGGTACACAACTACTGCAGACATTGTGAATGCTGAGTTTATCACTGCTATTGTTCAAGCATAATCAAGGCTGCAGGGCATTGTACTGAGCAAGGAGCCTCAAAATTTCAGACCTTTGTTTTTGTGCGAGTTTGATTCAAAATGACTTGCAGGAAGAAAAAAAAAGAAAAAAAGGAAGATCCAGAGCGCTCAGTCGTGTCTCTAAGTTTTCCTCTTTAAAGCATCTTATCTCAGCAGACATTCTTAGCCAAGCTTTTAGATGAGTTTGAAAAGGCTGCTTCACAAGAAAGAGGTATCAACAAACATTATCTCTCTGAAGCTACAGGGTGCTATTACCTAGCAGATAAGAGGCAAACTCTCTCCTTAGCTAATGGACGACAACATTTTATCCAGTTGTCTCAAACGTCCATCAATCACTACTGCAGTCTGGAAATAAATATTGCATATTTTATGTGGTCCATACAGATGGAAATACAGATCAGATGCCCTGTAAATAGAGGGATACACAGGGATATTAAAATTTTTAATGGCTGGAAACAGCACTGATGAGGACTGTGAGACAAAGAAATAAACTTGTGGCCAATAACCCTAAAACAATGAGTGAGAGACATTAAAATGCATTGCAGTGCGGAACCACAGTTTGGATAATCATTCTCTGTGGGTTTGTCACAACCAGAGACCCTTTCAAGTTTGCTTTAAGAACTGAAGCATTTGCGTTATTGTTTATTTAATGCCCTAATTGTTAATTTAACAATTGTTAATTTAATTGTTAATTTAACGATAAAAATGTAAAACAATACCTAATTTGACAATTTCTGTTTGCACAATGGAACCCACCAAAATCCAGGTGTTTCACATTAAACCTCCTCATTGACATTCGGTCTGAATTCTAAGATGCGTAAACATGTAAATGTTGAATAAGCATGCTCCTGGTTATGGCTGTTTGGACCCTGTACAACCTTCTGTGCTTTGGTTTCTGGGTCATATTCAGAGCCCCTCACTCATGCAGAAGTCCGGTCAGTTTGTCAGATATTTTCCCAGCACAATTTGAGCCCCTTAGTACGAACTGAGCATGACTTCAGTGCCACAGCCTGCCTGTTTATTCAGCTAACCATGTAAATTCCTTCATGACTACAGTGTACCATGTCACAAAGCTCAACTAGCCAGTTTCACCAGGGAACTTGGTACTAACTAGGTGTGCCTAATGAAGTGACCAGTTAGCATAGATGTGTACAAGTCATGTAATGTGATATAAGATACGATAATACACTTGTGCTTATACTTATGTATACAGTTGTTTGCCTGTATACATTTTCTGCAGCTTCCGTTGGCTCTCAGTGGCACTCCCGCTACTTTATGTAAGCTGTATTTTCTTAAAGCATCTTTTATTTACTACAGCTTCAAAGGCAGCTGGGCTTTATTTGAAGCAAGCTTTTGTTATTATTAGTATGTGATTAGTGTATGCAGTGTATGTATCCTCCACTAGACAAACTCTCGTTTTTCAGCATTATGCTGTTAACACTAATTCAACAGTTCGGTGTCCATTTCAAATTAAAAGCCCTCTTATGTTTCTGTGCATTCAACAGACCAGGCAGTGTCTGGCCACAACACATTCCTGCACATGTTTTCCTGACTGTAGGTTATTTGCAATTATTTATACATTGGTTTGTTCACCTGCAAAATATCCATCCATTGCGCACCTATAATTATGTGTGTTGCACTGAAAGTGTCAGTTGTTAGATTTGTGCATTTGGATTTTTTAAAAAAAGAATGAGTGACATCTTTCCACATTTTCTTCTATCTATTCAGTTTTTAAAACATCCTAATAAGAGGAAAGATTATATGACTGTTGAAAAAGAATTATAATTAATAATAATTATTTATTAGAATTAGGTAATAATTTAAATGGGTCATCTCTCCCTGATCATTTTTTCCCTTTCAAGATTGTTTAGAATATTTTGATGTGGCCTTTTAGCACCTTATCAACATGGTAATGTATCTCTGTCTAATTGCTGGGATTTTTGGATAGTTCATTAAACATATTTTTTTCTTAAACTTTAGCCTACTATGAGAAAATGTTATATTTTCTTCTTTAACTTTGCATTCTTAATAAACACAGTCTGTCCTCCGCAGGGAGCTTGGTTTATCTGTGCCAGCATTTTTCACAGGCAAAGCTGCGTTCACCGTTCGCTGAGCATCTCCGCCTCCTTTTTCTCTTCCATCTCTAGATGTATCGGTGAGCCTGTTGTCTCTGCTGGTGACCACCTGTGGTCTGGCTCTCTTCAGCGTCTCCCTCTTTGTCTCATGGAAGCTGTGCTGGGTGCCACTAAGTGGTCGTTTCCTCCCAGATGTCCTCAAGGGGGCACACTTCTTGGGAGGAGACCAACAACCTGTCCTCACAGAGGTAAGGAGGAAGAGCAGGGTTAATTACTTGTATGAGCAACATTTAGTTTTAATGGGAATATCATGTAAACAGAAAGGAGCAGTAAAAATCATTTTTTTAAAGAATACTTTTCTTTGAATTTGCCAGTATTGAATTTCACAGTACAGATGCAGATAGGAAACCAGGGGTCACAAGAGGATATCACATGCAACCAACGTCATATTCGGCCAAAATCCAACCCGGTTGTTACAGTGATATGGTCTGCATCTTCGACAACCAGATACTCCAAAAATCGCCAGGGAAAATTGTATTTCACTTTGTCTTATTGCCGCTTTTTTGTATGTAATCAGTCTACTTGCACTGCAAGATTACTCCTAAAATAATACGGCCTTTATAGAATATAATTTATATAAAACTCTTATACAACACAGTTTAATACTTGATATTGTACTTATGTTGTCAAACTGTAATGATGTTGTTAGATAGCCACTGCCAAATTAGAATTAAAATCCATTTTAAAGGTCATACTACAACCTCATACTGCAATATTTAGAGCTGCTCAGCTAATTGGTACACGATGATAACCTGAACTGAAATGCTGCTGATTGCAAGCAGGTGTCATCTATACCATCAGTGTCGCTTCTGCAGCTCTGCTACTGCCAGCCATGTCTTTCTACATTGAGTTTACCTTTGACAATTATAGTCACAGTTGTGCCAGTGTAACAAACGGGGACACTAAAGCGGTCGCGCCAGAATGTCGTGCTAAAAAGAAAGATTCTCTAAAATACAAGGGGGAGCAAGCGAGTCAGATACCAAGGGCACAGAGATGAAGCAGGTCTGATCAGAAACAGTTTATTACTAGTCCAGAAAACACCAATAAAAACCACCCTTAAAAACACACACGATAGAAATATTATTGACAGATAAAGCCCCCCCAGCTAAAACCCAATGCTAAAGCTAGTAAAAATACAATTCTCTACATTTACTAAAATCCCCTGATGTAATGTCCCACAACCCTGGATGCATTATGGGTCCACCAGCAGGCCAGAGATTCCCTTGCATGAGTTGGGTCCATGCCAGCCCTGTCTTAGGCCGACGAGGAGGAGCCTCCTATCCCCTCTCTTGTCCACTCACTGGGCCCACCACATCCCAGCCCAGCTTCCATTTCACACCGGAATCCTCCACGCGATGCCACCATGGATCCCCTCGCGTCAGCACCCTGCAAATACACAAATAGGGGCCAGAAAACTCGTCCCGGAAGAGACCCTGGCTTATAGCCATGGCAACCCTTTCCCAGCACAGCTGCACCCAGCATATGACAGTGGGGAAAGCGTTACTCACATATGCCCATGTGCAGTCAGTCCACAGTGGATAAAAACCATGTCACATAAAACACTAAAAGCAATAGAAACAGAATAAAACCATGCAAATAAAACGACACTCATAAATAAACACTAAAAATCAGAATAAAACCCATATACAAGATATACACAAATTTCCACTGTGTGACACCAGCTCACATGTGGCATGGAATGGAAATACCCAGGTTCTGGGATCAGTGCAACTGCTGTACTTTTTGCACATTGGCAATAGACAGATAAGCTGGAAAAGTTGAAAACCCTTTATAAACCCATCCAACTTTCTCTATAACTATATAACTAACTATACTATGTTGGAATTTTTGCGTGAGAATGCAGATACCCAAGGTAATGTATAAAACGGTTCAGGGCTAAAGCTATCTTCTTATATATTCTAGATATTAAAAATGTAATGAAAAGCATAAATTATGTAATGCTATTGCCATGATATAGATATGACTATGAAAAGTGGTTTGTGGTCTACTTTTGCTGACAAATGTGTCACATCCAATCTCTACAAAACAAACAACTCACATGAGACTAACCTGTTAACATTGGTGCTAACGAAGAAGCACACGTGTCATGCACAGGTACAAGAAGCAGTGTCTCTGAGAGTCTGCTCTTTTGAATGTTTTGTTGGGCTTGTTGAAGCTGTTGGGACTGGGCAGTGTAACCTTATCATTCTTCTTGGTCTGTAGAGTTTTTTCACTTAAAATAATTCCAGCTCTACTCAACTTTTACATGACTAAATATCTAATCACCCAGAGTGATCCAAAATGTCCTGTTCTCTATTAATGGCCTTAAAGAGAGAACTTAGTAACATAGTTTTGCATCTGTTTCAAGCAGTTGTGCTATTTGAACTATGTATAATTATACACACAAACAGGAAGCCCTTTTTATAATGTGTATTTTCTATTTGACTGGGGTTTTCTACTTGGCATTGTACTGGTGCGAGTACACTGCCACCACTACTTTCAAATTGTGTACAAATTTCATCCTGAGTGTTTGTCGTCTGAGCTATGTTAGCGCAAAGGGAAGCTAAAACAATTGTTTGCTTAATCAATCAAAGCTACAGTCAAAAGATTTGCTTCTTTTTTGGTGGTTGTCTGCCAACTTTACATCGATGATAAGATCCCAGAAACTTAGGAAAGACTTACTGGACTGTCCTTGACCTATTTTTCATTTCATCTAGTTCTAATGCTAAGCTAACAACCTTGCAGATATCAATCTCTTTATTTGATTGTTGCCATGCACTTATTTTTTTTACTTATTTTCCAAGAAGGGCAGTCTTTAGAGCTTCATATTATAACATTTTAACCGTGATTAGTGGCAGTCGCGCTACAGGAATAAGTCTACAACAGAAACACATCATTTTTCAAAAAAGTACATGTCTTTTAAATTTTTTTTTATCTTAAAATAAGAAAAAGGATAATGACTCAAGTATTTAAAGAGGTGGAAGCATTTCAGGTTTAAGGCACTTCTGTTTAAAAATACAGCCAAGAAATTAATTTAACAGTCCAACTAAGCATTCCCACATTATATTTTTTTAATAGCATGCAGTAATGCAGACACTGATGTGTGCTGTGCAGGTGGACGGGGAGGAAAGGGAATACAGTGAAGATGGCTGTGTGAAGGAGCCTTCGGGGCCCCCTTCGGGTGTGCCTGTCCCGGAGTCGGCCTTGAAGATAAGCCACACATCACCTGACATCCCACTGGAGACGCAAACTAAGGTGGAGAAAAACCATGCTCACACTCTGGCCAGGGACAGGGTTCAGAGACAGATTACTGAACCTACCTCTTCTGTACGGTAAGTAGTTCTTAAAACTGTTGTCCAGTATTTAGTGTTGCTGACAGGTTAAATACAGATGACAGACAGAGTTCAGAGATTCTTAATTAGGAAAGTGACAGTATACATCAGGGATGTGTGCTACAAAGCAAGTTCGGGATATCCAGGATATCTTTTTCTTAACTTTCTTAACTTTTTCACTTACCCTGTTGGTTCTTTCATACCAAATGTTAACTTCCAACGTGACATCATTCATTCAACTAATGCCAGGTGAAGCTTCACATCAGCTGTGATTACACTACGACATCCTTAGCATAGAAATAAAGGTGTTTTTAATATTTATTGATGCGTATCTGGGAACAACAGACTGTATATAGTTTGTCAGAACTACAGGACCTATTACTGTCAGTGAAACTATATCTTTGGAATCTTTAAGGAACGGTGACAATATTTAGTTTTTTATATTTTGCTCTCATTTCTCAAAAATAACTCCCTCCAGAACATTTTACATGTGCAGTATAAGTTATCAAGGAAAATTTGTACCAATCTTGTAACACTGAAAACGCAGGGTTAGACCTTAAGTTAGCCTGTTAAACCCAAAATCCTACTTTGTAGTACAGGCCTCAGCTGCTAGAGAACACAGTAGATGCAAAGATTTAAGAATATATTTGCTGAATAATTTGAATTGCCTTATATACCTTCCAATTACACCACTTTGTTACAGGCACAACTCCTTTCGTCGTCAAATGAACTTATCCAATCCCGACTTCAACCCTGCTCAGTTCCAGCGCCAGGAGTCTTTGTCTGGTTTGGGTCGGATCAAACCAGAACTTTACAAGCAGCGCTCAATAGATGCAGAAGATGGCCATAGAACCTCTAACTGTGGGCGCCTTCACTTTATCCTTAAGTTTGACTTTGACCTGGAGCAGCTGATCGTGAAGATCCACAAGGCCCAGGACCTTCCTGCCAAGGATTTCTCAGGGACCTCTGATCCTTACGTCAAAATCTACCTGCTGCCCGACCGCAAAACCAAGCACCAGACCAAGGTGCACCGGAAGACACTCAACCCGGTTTTTGATGAAGTGTTCCTCTTTCCTGTGGCGTACGCAGATCTGTCGAATCGTAAGCTACACTTCAGTATTTACGACTTTGACAGGTTCTCTCGCCATGATTTGATTGGCCAAGTGGTGGTGGACAACTTCTTGGATCTTTCCGACTTTCCCCGGGAGACAAAACTGTGCCGGAACATACAATATGTAACCTCGGTGAGAACTAGCTTCTTTACATTCTTTGACTGTCCATTTTACTCTCTCTTCGTCATATTAAGGCCACATTTATTACATTTACTAAACGTTTTATTATTTATTGTCAGTACCATGAGACTTGATGGCGAGACCGACACTATCTGTAGCTCCCAAAATCCCTTGTCTTTTTTTCAGTCTGTAACAAATCTGCTCAAACAATCAAAAAGAGCAAGAACTCCTGTAAAACCCTGTTATAACAGCAGAGGGAAGGAGATAAGTCAGCGGACTTGTATCTCATTTCCCCTCCAAGTGGAACTCATCTGTGGTTTCAAGAGGCAAAGACATAAAAATATACTTAGACACAGTTAATGTTTAATGAAACCAGGAGGGAACACTTGGGGGTAGTGACCCAGATCTACACATAAGATTAGGGTCGGTTTGACAGAGATACAGTGACACTGTCTATATTACATTATTCACTGGAATAAATCTACAGCATTGGTACACAGAGTAACTCAGTTAGGAAGTTAGATCCTCCTATCAGGGAATTTGTTATATCTTCCCTCCTTGTTGAACAAGAGTTACAGTATGGGATAGACATTTTTGTTGTTGTTTATGGGCAAATAGTGTCAGATCACACTGATTATGAGCAAATGTAATCTGTTTATGGAATCGTAATGGGCGGACTAGGATTAAAAGACCGTTCTGCATATTTAGTCATTTGTAAGTGAAGCATTGCTTCATTGTGTACGGAAGTTTAGAAGTTAAGCCTTACACTAATCATTGAACAGAAATCATAGCATTTATTCCTCAAAACATACTCAAAACAAACTAGTGTATAATCTGATTTTTAGGCTGGTGAGATATGCAAATAGATTTAGCAGAGTAAAAACTCCAAATGAGAAATTCCGTGTTTTATTTAAAGCTGGTATCAGACTTTATCTTCATATTAGTCTTAGTCACGCTGCTGTAATTAGGCCATTTGAACAAAGAGATGCTGAAGTCAGGTAGACAAGTGAGTCAAGGACAAGGGTGGAATAATTAATTTCGTTTTGAGCCTGTAAACAATTTACAGAATAAAAAATAGGCCAAGGCTCTTGATTATGGATGCAGTCGATGTTTTCTGTGCTTTGTCTTTGTACTGCAAAAGTAATGACATATCCATTAGTCGTACAGAAATAGTTTGTGTTTAGCACAATAAAACACGCAACCAACATGGCGGTGATGCTATACACCTGCAAAACATAATCAGTTGTCATTGTAAGCTTGCTTGCATGATGATGTTTGCATTTAGCTCAGTTAGCAACGCCTCACTGTTACCATACGAGTGTAGAGGTTGTTGTGCGCCAAGTTGAATAGATGCACTCAGGCAGGTAAACGATGGCTGTAGCTTCTGGGTGTGAAAAGTGATGCTTGTGCAGAAATGCTTTAAACCCCTCTTATTAACTATTCGTAAACTGTTTACTGTAACATTTCTGTAATGAAGTGCCTTGATATTAGTTGTTGAGGTACCTTGCTGATGCATTTGTAGTCAAACCATTTACTTTTTCCTTTACCTCTTGCCGCAGCCCTTTGCTCTGAAACCAAAGACATGATAGTGTGAGTTACATTTTTCAGTTTAGTAGATTTTGCCCTGATTGCAATTCCAGAACCAAAGTGTCCACCAAACAGAACATGTCCTTTTGTCCTATTATGCAACTCCTGTATCAATTGAGCATTCAGTGCAATTGTGATTTTTCTTTGTTGTTTCTGTTCCTGTCATGAATCGCTGTGCGGCAGGCAGGAGTTGGACCCAAAATGCAGGACTCACAGACTCGGGGAGGTGAACTCAAAACACAGCTTTATTTGCTGGTAGAACAAACATACAAAACTAGACTAAACTGGGAAACCATAAACTAAGAACTCACAGGGAGACACAGGGAGATCCACACACAGCATGAGGGACGACGCGACACTGACTCAGAGAAACACAGGGTTTAAATACACTGGGAAGTAACGAGGGGAATGAGACACAGAAGGAGGGCACAGCTGGGAGAAATCAGGACTGACGAGACAAGCAAAGCAGGACGCATTCACATGAGACACGGACCATCAAAGTAAAACAGGAAGTATCACACAGAGACGCGAACTTGACACAGTGGAGACAGCAACTAAGAAATACAGAGACATAAACCATAAGGCAGAGGTCTAAGAACCAAAATACACAGGGAAATACTCAGCTGGGAACACAAGAGACTAGACTAGAGAGAGTAACAAAAAACCAACCATGAGAACATAATGCACAATGCAGAGTGACAGAAAACAAGAAACTCAAACATGCAAAGACACACAATTACACAGAACAGAGGGGAAACAGAGAGACATGAAGGGCAAGGGATCAAAACTAGAAGCCATAGAATAAATCACACACAAGTACAATAATACAAAAATCACAAAGAACTAAAAACGCTGGGTCAGGAGACCCAGGACCGTGACTGTTCCCTTGTCTAATAACTGTTGCAAGCAGCATTTTACATGCAAATGATTAATTAAGAGTGTTTACATAGCTGAAGATGGTATTAGACTTGTGTTCCTGCTTTTATCTGTGATTCTGTTTATAAAAGAGGCCCATACGTTTGCACGTCTTTAGAAAAGCATCTGACAAATACAGTGCATATGAACATGTGTGCCAAAGTGTCAGGATTGTGACCACCACTCAGCCTAATTTTGAGGCTTTGAAACTTACAAGGCCAACGCAGCTGCTCCTCATCAACTAATTAAGTTCAAAGAGAGAAAATGATCGTTAGGTGGGCCAGCGTTAAACCAGTTCTGACCTGTTTGTGCCTCGTTAACTACAGTGATGTGAAGACGCAGTGGGACAACACTCCCACCTCATAAACACACACATACTAATCTCGTTGGTTCACAAATATTGTTTCCACACTGCGCAGACTCAACAGCATTGCCAACTAAATAAGGTCAGTCTAATTGGGTCAGGCCCTCCTCTGAGACTTTCAATATGTGATGTATAGCTGTCCTGTCTTGTATGTCCAAGTCATAAGGCGTCCACTTTCTAGATATAATGCCTTTTTAACCATCCACCTTAACACCATAGATAAAAATGGACACTGACAGACATCTCCAACTCTGCATAGTTTACCTTTACCTTTATTTTCGTTTTAAGCAAGAGGATATACAGTATAGTTCAAGATGTCAAACTCAATCATACGTGAACTTTAGTTATAATGAAACAGTGCCATTAATACAGGTTCTATTTGACTGAATCACCTGTACTTCAAGCTGCAAGGCTGAATTAGAAGTCACTTTCTATTTTTTGAATTGGTGAATGGGTTTTTTGAACAAGAACACCAACTTTGGCAGATGGATAGTTTGGATTGGTGAAGCTGTATGTGGTCGTTATTAGGTTGAGTTTGGTTATCACTGAAGTATATTTTTAACCTGTGTCACATCAAGTCAAGAATAGACCAGAAAGAGCCCTGGTACTATGAAAAAGATCACACTCAACACACGTAAAACAACGGACATGTCAGCCTCTAGAAAATGAATGAAATCAACTGGTAAATGGATACATTTAAACACAAAGGCCTCCATCACATAGTTTATATTGTGTCCACTGACTCAACTCTCTGAGAGCCACTGTCACACAGTGGGTAAACAGAGAGGGTAAAACTATCTCACTCTTGCTTATCACTAGGAAATCATAGTTATACACTATTCTATCAATTTACAGTGGAAACCGCATTTTCTATTTTTTTAATGTGACAAGAACAGGAAGAGAGCGAGATCATGCTGAGTTGCATGCTGAACATTTTGTAAATGTTTTCAAAGTATTTTCTCCATATATCTTAATATGACCCAATCTGACTTTTAGCTGGTTAAATTTCACAGGATTAAAAAGGATTTTTGTAAAGTTGCTCGGCAGGTCTTTTATTTTTATTTTGCTGCATTCATGTCAATTTTGTAAAAAATTAAAAAATATGACGTTGACGGCTTGTACAGCAAGTAACGTTAATCCAAACTGTAACTTGAGTCTCTCTTAGCCTTCAGATTAGGCGTCCATAAACGAGGTTACACGTGTAACTGTGCTTCTCTGTTTCCAGAAAGCAGTCAAAGCCCAGAAATCTGTTAAAACAATCCCATGTTTTTATATGCATGCACAAAATACATAGATAATGATTGTTCTCTCTTATTTTTACAGAGAATCAGTTTGATTACTCAGATTTGTGTCTGCACAGCCATGTGAGCGTCTCAGGATTTTAGGTCTATGAGGGAGGTCTAAAGAAAAATATAAAGTTTCTATTACCTCTTTCACTATCCCCAGCAGAACTAGGTTACCTCCCTTGAGGTTACAGATTGGGACCCTGTGTTGGTCTTCTCACAGTGTCTGTGCATTAATCATGGCTCTTGGCAGTGAATGAACCCCTAGCCATTGCAGGCCATATGCACTGGACTCTAATGCATACATGTTTCTGAGTTGCATGCTTATAGACATCAGAGCCATGATGTCTATAAGTTATGGTTATGTATATAAGGTTAGGCATAAAAGCAAATTCTCAAGATCTTGAACCTGTTACTCTAGCATGTTGATTTTTAATTAAAATTAACATATTTCTAGAGTTTTTATAGCCCCAAGCAAGTAATAGAAAGATGTTTTGTGAATTTGTGTCAGAGTTATAACACTTGTTATGTTGTTGTTGTTGCTGTTAATGTGATTAATTACTGGAGCAGCTTTTGAAATCCTACTCTGGAATGCTTTGCTGGCACAGGAAGGAATGCAGCTTCACTTTGTCCTCTATTTTTCAGTAGCACTGCAAAGGACTTCAGTCATATTAAAAAAAAGATATTATACATACGGGGATTTTAGCGATGATGAATTAGGAAAAGGTTAAAATGGCCAGATTATATATCAAGACGCATACTTTTCGTTTTCATCAGTGGATTACCAAATGGGTGAAAAGGAAGTTCTGCATAACATTGTCCTAAAACTAAAAGCTTACTGACTGAACTGCTTCAGTTATTTT